GAGCCAATATTGTCACTCTTTATGTCTCTATGGATCACTTGGTTTGAGTGCAAGAAATCCAAAGCTTGGAGGCACTCTCTGCAGACAGCTGCTATCTGTCCTTCATCCATACAGGTTTCTGTGACCACATCAGTCAATGAGCCACCAGCCAAGTATTCCATGACTACCCATAGTTCATCACCCACTAAGTAGCTATCTAAATAATTAACAATATTGGGGTTCTTATTTTCCCTCATGACTAGGATTTCATTAATAATTAATTCTTTTTTTGGTTGCTGTTGAAGGTTCATCTCCTTTGTGGCCACCTCTTGTCCTGTTGCAATGTCTAGTGCTGTATAAACAGTACCTGACGCCCCTTGACCGATTTTTTCAAATCTTGTGTATTTTTTCTTTGGGTCTCCAACACTCACAATGCTTCTTAGCTTCTCTAAGATCTCCTCATCTGTCATCTTGGATTTTTTCCTTTGCCGATCTGTGTTCCTGTACTAAGTACTGGAATTGGCATTCTCAGAGGAAGGTGGTGTGACTTCTTTATTTGGTGCTGCTGGTGAAGCAATGGATTCAACCACAGAACGCGTGTAGACAGATTTTGTATGCTCTGGCCTTGGTGCAATAACTGGTGGGGGCTCATTGTCATCTTCTTCTTCTTCCTCTTCTTCATCTTCTTCTTCAGACACAGGAGGAGCCAAAGGAGGCTCAGATGCTGTTTTTGTACTCGAAGGATGGGCTGCTATGTATCCATGTGCGCTTTTATCTCCTGACGTAAAGCTCATGTATTTCTGGTTTTTGACCGTTTCTTTGGAATCATAGAATTTGAGAACATCTAGGACAGCTTGGGGGTTCTTCTTCTGCTCTAGTTTCGTTATGTTGGAGGTTTGGAGTAATCGTGCCCACTGCTCAGGAATTCCAGTGAACTCCCCGGTGACTACATCAAACCCAACATGAATCGTATGCTCAAAGTCTGAAGGAAGAGAGATCTCTGGGCGCTCTTTCTCTTTCTTCTTACTGGTTTTATCCCCTCCTCCTGGGAAGACAGAGTGGAGCCTGGCTTTCTTATTCTTCTCTTCGGGGGCCATGGGAAGTGGTTTGGAGCTGTGGTTGAGTGCTGAAGAATCCTGGTTGTTACTATTCATCCTCAGTGGGGGAGCTGGGGATTTCTCTTCATTATCCAGACCGTCAGACATTTTCAGTTACAACCAATTTCACAGCTCTAAAGACTGAGGAGTGAAAATCAGCTTGGACTAAGACAAAGCAGGCCTGCTAATAATCAGGCTGAGAGGACGAACAGATAAAGCCAGCTGCAAAAAGTTCTCTTCTTACTTATTTCAACAGAGCTATTCTCAGTTTTATGTTCACCTAAGGAACTACAACTTCTTAACTGGATTCTGTAATTCTCATAAATGTATTTTGGTCTGTCTATAGTTGATAATTGGTATTTCTGTGGGGGAATGAAGGCTTGGGTTTCCTATTTCGGCACCTTACTGATGTAACCACTCACATAGGCTTCAATTGCATCATCTTTCTTCTCCAAAACTGCCAATGTCTCTCCACGTCTGACAAATTAGATATTTTGGTCTATATTCCCACCTTATGTGATAGTTCTAACCTACCTTTCCAGGGTAATTTCTACCTACAGGTATCCTCTTCTCTGCCATACATCTTCTGTGGACTTAATACCATTCTATTACTATCTGCTCCAGTGGTTCCTTTGCTATACTCCTAATATCCCCTTTTGAAATTCTTCTTTCTATCAAGGTTAACCTTACATGTCAGAACCTACAATAAATTTTCTCAAGTTTGCCTCAACGAAAATGACCTCTCTATCCTGAGAAACACCATATGCTTTGGTTTAATCATCCTTTTCTCATTCAGCCTTACATTATAATTATTTAAGCACCTGTTTTATGAAATGATAAGCACTCTAAGAGTAAGTATTATGCATCTAATACTGTTCAATAGTCAAGTGTCAATCCCTATACTTCCATGTAGTTGGTATTCATTTAATTCACTGAATTGAATTGAGAAGGGCAGAAAGAGGCTTTCTTCTACTTGATATTCCAGGGTGGCCTCCCACTATGACCCTTTCAAAGCATGTACAACACATGCTAAAAGCAGGTTCAAGAAACAATAAATGCTTAGCCTTGAACACTATATAATACCAAGTTTTGGATGATATTCAGAGGATCCTTAATAGAACCACATCCTGTGAAACCTATAATGGAAAGTCAATGATACCTTGCCTTCAGGATCCACTAGGAGAAGATGTTTTGCCTGTCCTCCCTGTAGTCCACTCAGCACAAATTGGCCAGGGGATGTTGTACTCTCTCGAACCAAAAAGTCCCCGTCCTTTACCAAGAGGCTCTCTGCTGCTTTCCTGCTCAGCTTGCCATGGTAGCACTCTTCATTCCGCAGCTGCTGCTCTATGTGTGGCAAAGAATGTGAGCTGGCAGTCTGGGCTGTGGCACCTGGCTGGACTGTTTCTGGTGGCTCTGAAGTCAGAACATAAAGAGAGACATTGCCAAGTTACCATCTGTTTCATCCATTCATTCATTCACTCAGCAAATATAACTTGAGGTCCTACTGTGTGCCAGACACTGTTTAAATAATACTGCTTCTGGAATAAATGAGGTTTTTGTTTTCAGAACTCCCCTAATTTAACGGTACATCTAAACATTGCCTTTGGCTTCTGTTACCAGGAAAGTCTTGCCCAGGTGCAGGAGTTTTTCTTTCAGTTGAGAAATGGAACCAACCCATGAGAACTGCTTTTATAACTGCTGAGAGAGATTCTTTATGTCCCGGGGGCTGTTTGTTAAAGAGAAAGAGGGTTACGCTGTACCTGGATTACAGATAACTCCCACAAAATTTCCAAACTCTTTGAAAATAGCTATGGTAACTTTGGGCTGTTTGTACTTTTAGCATTTAGCTCTTTTTGTTGTTTTGGTTTTTTGCTTTTTAAAAAAATATCAAATTACTAATGTGCTTCTAGACCTTCTTCTTGCCAGAAACTTCAAAGCTTTGCTCAACCTCATAGCATTCCTATTAAATGACCACTCTGTTGTTTGTGTCATTCACCTGCTTGGACAAAACAGAGTAGATGAGGTAAAAGGAGACAAATCAACCAGGAGGCGCAGCTTCAGGCAGCTCCCCAAAGCTCTGCTGAAGTGTTGTCCACTGAGAAGGAGAAGGTATACTCAGTTAGTGCTAAATAGTGCTGTTGGTACTGACAGTTATAAAAATTATTGTGTAGTTCCCATATACTGGGTATAACGCGACGCTATTTGTACATGAACTTTATGGCCGCACTGTATGGGGACCACCTTGTAGACTGGCAAGGAAATAGATCTGTAGAAAAGTTAAGCGGCTTACTCAAACTCATTCTGCTAATATGTTAAAAATCTTGAATTTGAGCTGAGGTCTATCTTACTCCAAAGCCCGGGTTCTTAATCACTGAACACAAAGGCTCTTGCTTTGGATGTGAAAATCTCTTAATTTTCAAAACCAATCTAGCCACTCTATGTCTGTAGTACCTACAAAGGTCCCTAGTATATAGCAAGGCTATCAGAATGATATAGAGCAGTGAGTTTCAACTGGTGTTGAAGCATGGGTATGCTGTGAAAATTTTTAAAGATCATTAATTAAATTATTTTCAGAAGAATTTCAAAGCACACTAAGTACATCCTTTTTTTCCCTCTTTTTTGGATCAACATAATTGAACTGTGCCAGGGAAGATTAACTATCGGATCAAGTGTGTCATGACATTAAAAAAGGTTGAAAAATGCTGATATAGACCATCTGCAGAAGTAAAAGCATAAAATTATTAAGTATGAATCCAGGTAAAAATTGTATGTTTAATATGGCAATGTACCAGGAAAATAACCACTAGAAACTAGTCTTTGTCTTTTTAAATGTAAAGCTTCTTTTAGATAGAAATCATGGCTCAGTGCCCGTAGCTCAGCCTTGAGGGCACTGGCCACATACACCGGGGCTGGCAAGGTTCAAACCCAGCCTAGGCCAGCTAAACAACAATGAAAGCTACAACAACAACAATAACAACAACAAAAATAGCCAGGCATTATAGCAGGCACCTGAAGTCCCAGCTACTTGGGAGGCTGAAGCAAGAGAATCACTTAAGCCCAAGAGTTAGAGGTTGCTGTGAGCTGTGATGCCACAGCACTCTACTGAGGGCAACATAGTGAGACTCTGTCTCAAAAAAAAAAAAAAGAAAAGAAAGAAAGAAATCAGACTTCATCTTTCCTAACGGAAAGGAGTGTTTATATATCCTTACACAAGGATCTCACAAATAAAAAATTCTCTTGACTAGGAGTTTTATAACTTATACATGACCAGCCCATGAAGTCCTTGGTGTGGGCCACTAGTGTCCTACAGCCATAATTCAGTTCTCCTACTGTGTTACAGTTTTGTCCCTACTTAATGATGCATTCACAAATATATATATATTTTAAAACATCTTTAGTCTAAATCTAATGACTGGAAATATTCTTCTCTACAAACAAACAAGTCTTTCTATTGTTGCCATAATTAGCCTGATGAAATGTGTACAGATCTGATGAATAATACTAGTATTTGGCCTTAGTGCTGCCTGCCTTCAGGCACAATGGAGAACTTCCAGTAAGTAGCTGTACGATGTTTTTGTGAGAGAGAAAGTGTGTAAGTGTGTGCAGGAGGGATGCATGGAAGTGGGGGGGGGGGCACATGCATCTTAATGAGTGATGGCTTTTGGTTTATTGTGAGATTATAGTGAAGAGCTTTTGGACAAGGACAAAACAAAAGAAAAATAGACATTATATCATCTTCAAAAGAGGCAACAGATCATGGGCCAGCCAGAGGATATGGACTATGTCTTCCTAACATAATTATTCATGTTAGCACACAGACAAGAGACACCGTGCTAGGAGACTTCCATCATCCAAATACAGGGTATCCAACACACTGATTTTCTGAAAGTCGAATTCTTCCAAAAGCAGAATATGTGACAATTTTTAAGCTTTTATTGTAACTTTAAAAGTTTTACATGATATTTTTTTAAATCTAAGAAATAGGGGGAAAAATGAATCACTTCCAGTCTTATCACTAAATAAAACCACTTTTAACATCGTGGTCCACTATCAATTGCTCCTTTTTAATGTAAAGTTGACATTGAAAATGTTGATCATGATCTAAATATGACTAATTATATAAATTTCTATGCAATATTCAATAATTATTGAATTAATATGCTTTCTCAGAAGTAGTAGAGAAGGGCATGGTGCCTGTAGCATAGCGGTTATGGCACCAGCCACATACACCCAGGCTGGCAGGTTAGAACCTGGCTCAGACCAGCTAAACAACATGACAACTGCAACAAAAAAATAGCTGGGCATTGTGGCAGGCACCTATAGTCCCAGCTATTTGGGAGGCTGAGGCAAGAGAATCTATCACTTAAGCCCAGGAGTTTGAGGTTGCTGTGAGCTGTGATGCCACAGCGTGACATAGTGAGACTCTGTCTCAAAAAAAAAAAAAGAAGAAGAAGAAGAAGAAAGTAGAGAAGTTTAAGGAAGCAACAAAGGTGGCCAATCTATATTTAATGGAGCTCCACCAAAAAGTGGTAAGAATCATGGAAAAAAAATAAAAGAATTATGGAAAAAGTAATCAAATCATCTCAGAGTTACTGTTAGTATAAGGTGACCAGACGTCCCGATTTTGAACAATTTGTCTCACATCCTGTGGTGTTTTTATAAAGTCCCAATTTTTGGAAAGAATGCATGACAAGCTAGGGGACGCAGGAGAATAGGAAGGGAATATACAATTTCAGCTGCTGAAAAGGTTAATGTAACTCCATTTGGGAATGAAGAGGTTAATGTAACTTCATTTGGAAATGAAAAGGCTAATGTAAACTCCCTACTCCCCTCCTAGGCAAGGTATCAGAAAGAGACTGGCTCCCTCCCTTGCTTCTAGGCAAGGACAATTAGCTCAGAAGGAGCCAAACTGTCTGGAACAAATAAGTAGCTCCCCACCCCCACCCCCAGTAAGGTGACCAGATGTCCTGCTTTTGGCAGGACAGTCCCAATTTTTAACAATTTGTCCTGCATCCTGCGGCATTTAAAAAAGCCCCGATTTTTGGAAAGAACGGACAAGCTAGGGAACACAGGAGAACAGGAAGGGAATATATGGTTTTTGGCTGCCACGTGGCTATTTCTCCAGGATATGCATTTTATATTATTTTTGTTAATTTTATATTGTTAAACTTTAATAATAACAAATAATTGTTGGGAACTGATTACCGAGAACTGCTTATCAAAGTTTGCATTGTTGTCAGGCCTCGCCCCCCAGTGGTGTCCCGCTTTACCAATGTTAAAATCTGGTCACCTTATGTTAGTAGCTAATACACATACAGTTCCAAATCAGAACTACACACAGGATAGATACGGATATCCACACCCATATTTATCTGAGGGGCGAAACCTTGGAGAGGAGAAAAAACATGAACATGCAAAATTTGGATTAGACAATTGCAAGTAATCCTACTGAGAAAGGAAGGATGAGAAATTTAAAGAAACCAGGCTGGGCATGGTGGCTCACCCCTGTAATTCCAGCACTCTGGGAGGCCAAGGTGGATGGACAGCCTAAGCTCATGGGTTCGAGACCAGCCTGAGACAGAGCAAGATCCCCATCTCTAAAAATAGCCAGCTGTTGTGGTGAGCACCTATAGTCCCAGATACTCGGGAGGCTGATGCCAGAGAATTGCTTGAGCCCAGGAGTCTGAGGTTGCTGTGAGCTGTGACACCATGGCTCTCTACTAAGGGTGACATAGTGAGACTCTGTCTCAAAAAAAAAAAAAAAAAAAGAAAGAAAAGAAATTTAAAGAAACCAATATGAACTATAAAGACAACACCCTGATTAATTCAATTGTTAAGACCATCTATAAAATTATAGTATTAATTACTGTATTAGCAAAGGACTGGGAAGAATTGAGATGTAAGAGACTAGTTACATAAATTATGATGCAGTCACACAACAGAATACCATAGAGCATCTGAAAATAATGAAGATCACGTTTTAAAACAAAAGTAAAATAGGGCAGCACCTGTGGCTCAAAGGAGTAGGGCACCAGCCCCATATACTGGAGGTGGCAGGTTCAAACCCGGCCCCAGCCAAAAAAACTGCAAAAAGTAAAATAAGCAAGCATAAAAGGAAGTTATTATAACTTTTGTTTAAGTTTTGAAGAATATAGAAATAAATTAATTAATTGAGTTGACAGATTCTTAACTATGCATTCACATTCTGGAAGAAATCAAAAGAAATTGTTAATATCTAGGTAGTTGGATATAGTAGAATATAGGAAGGACACCATTCTTTTTTATCTGAATTTCTTCTGTAAGCATTTGTATTATATTTTGAATTAAAATAAAATAAACCCTGTCTATAGGATAGTATGTATCAGAACTGTGTAAACTTGTGAGAAGAGCATCAGGTTTGGGAAACAGGCCCC